GGCTCGCCAATTATAAATACAGTTAAAAGTTTATTACTCAGGGGAGGTTACTCTAAAATAAGGGAGGTGGAAGTTAGGTAAGAAATGCCAAAAATATAATCCCCCACATCCTCAGTATGGAAGCAATTAGGGACTTTGAGGCTCCCCAGCAAAAATATCCACCGAGCTGCTCCTGAAAATCGCAAGCTGCGTTTCACCACAGAAATTATTACCCTGATTGTTTACATTCTGCACAAAAGGGAGATGACAGCAGAAGGAGGGGGGGGCTCTACACCCAGCCTTTTCCCAAGATAATTTGAAAAATGCTGATCTCGATTTTAATCAGCTGCAAATGCAGCACAATTCACTTATAATATCCCTGCCAGCAGGATCCTCAGTAAATTCATAACATCATTGCTTTTATATGATCACGAGCAAATTACTGAATCCTCAGGAGGAAAAGGAGAAGGGGGGGGGGGGGAAGGAGAGAGAAAGAGAGAAAGAGACAAACCCCAGGATTTAGTATGCAGCAGTCATGGCCCAACCGTTACATATTTTACTCCGTTAATTTAAGTTTTATTACATTTTCATTGTTAAAAAATAAACCAGAGCTTTATTGTGCAAACCAGCTGTCCTGGACATTTTTTTTAATTATTTTTTTGTTAATTATTATTATTTAATGGAAGCACCAGCAGCGCTTGATCAATTAGACACCTGTGGATGCTTCCGTTCTATGCCAGGGCTCGGCTGAAGGTTGAGGTGATCTGTTCAATCACATCTGTAGCAAATTACTTGAAGGATGAACAGCAAAAACAACAGGGACTAAATGACTTTCTCCTTGGTGGTGATGTGCAAAACTCGGCTGGGTTCCAAGTGGCGCTCAGTGCAGACGGAGGATGGACTTCGAGCCAAAGCTCCTTAACACAAACCTGCACCAGGCACACCTTGCTGTGGGTGATGGAACACCCTCCCACGGGATGGGGGAAGGGGGCAGAGATGGATTGTTGTACTGTGTGGCTTTGCACATCTCAGAGGAGTTTCTGTTCCTCCTGGGTGTGCTGGAGGAGTTGGGGTTACTGCCTGTGCCATTAGGGAATGCCTTCACCTGCTGCTCCACAGAGACCCTCAGATCCCACCTGGCACTGCCTGAACCAATGCCCACAGTCCCACCAAGACCAGTCAGGGAGTGGACAGCATCAGCTTTCCAGGAGCCAAAAAGTCCAGTTCTGGCAATGCTCCAACTCCATTTGAAGCCTGGAGCCTAGAGAATCTATGGATGTCCCACCCATAGAAGTGTCCCACCTGGTCTAATGGAAGGTGTCCCTGTTCGTGGCAGGGGGTTGGATGAGATGGGCTTTAAGGTCCCCTCCAACCCAACCTATTCTAGGATTCTATGACTTCCCAGTTTAGCTTCCCAGCATTTTCATCTTTACTGTGAACTGGGAGAGAACCCAACCCCCGATGAAGATGCTGATGGGACCATCATTCTGCTGTGGGTGTCCTGTCAGCTCATCCCATGTTCCTATACAAACCCCAATTGCACCATAAAAACACAACCATATAAAAGCCCCCTTTCTCCTTGCACTGGCAAGTTGGGTTTATTTGCAGAGAAACTGAACTGGTGAAACTGCTTGGCATATTCCTGCCTGGTCCTGTCCTGAATGGGAAAGGCACAGATGAGCAAAACCACGGCTTCCCCAGTCCCACAGGGCACGTGTCCCTGAGGAAACCATGGAAAGGGAGAACCTCCCACACACCCCTCCAACCACAGTGAAAGCAAAGGTACAGCAGCCAGCAGTTGCACAAGAACAATTTGCTGCCTCTCCTTTCCTTCCCTGTGTCACTGGTTAATGGCCCAGCATTGCAATGCCACCAGCAATTCAGGGTATTTGAGCCAAAAGAGGATTTTTCCCACAGATTCTCAAGTAGGTTGCTTAATTTTTAATAAACTCTGCTAACTCCTGCTAATTATCACACGGCTCATTTAACTGGGAGGCTTTCCTTCCTGTAGACTGAGGAGGAAGAACAGAGCAGATGGCTCAAATATCATCTTTTTTCTGAAAGGTCCTTATGCCCCAGCAGGCTCATCCCAGCTTCCTGCAGCCCCCACGGAGTTCTTCCACACCCACTGGGTCCTGCTTCAGCTCAGCCTCTGCTCCAGGACAAAACCTGGGCAAGCAGAGGTATTCACCTCTGATCCCCTGCACGGGCAAAACCAGCCCTGGGGCTAAAATAAGTTACAAAAAAAAAAAAAAAATCCATTTGGAGACAGTCTGCTGAGCCAAAGGGGTTTGGACAGATATGCCAGCACTCATGGGTAACTAGAATCTCTTGGAGGGAGTTGATAGTTTTCCCCGTGTTTCTTTTTACCTGCTTTCACCTGCACTTGCTGGGTGAGTGGACAGGCTCCAGGAAGGTTAGGGATGCTCTGGCTTAACAAAAAAAAAAAAAAAAATAGGGGGATCATGGAGTCAGGATCATCAAAGGACATCATCCTTTGATGTCCTATAGCTGTATAAAGGGTTGAGACGCTGACCTCAAACACCACATCCGGCCATGGACACTTAGCCTGTGATGCTTGGACTTGCTGAAAGTCAGGACGAATGGATTTCTCAGCTCATGAAAACTCCTGAGGTGGACTAAGGGATTTCAGATCTCTATTCCCTGAAGGAATAAACCCCCTGGGGCATTCTGAAAACTTCAGCCCGAGGCAGCAGAGAAAGGTTTTATTCAGTCCGCTTTGAATACTCTGCCCTGGCAAAGACTCTACGAAATATATTATTCAGGGTTACTGGATCCTGACCCAAGTCATTGCTGGGTAGTTCCTATTTTTACTGTGTTCCTGGGAGTTAAGCAAGCCCCTCAGCCCTCATCTGCCCCTTGCTGCCTGAAAACCAGCAACATTTGGCTTGACTGTGGGACTTTACCCACATTTACAACACTGGCAGGGGTTTTTTTGGAATTATATAAAGCACAGGTAGCAGAGAAACTGTTCATGCCCTACCAGCCTACTTTTCACATCTGCAGACACAAACAAGAAAACATAAACCATCACCTCCCCAGTACCCAATTTTTCAATCAAATTTCAAAATTGCAACACCAAAAGAACAACGGGAAAGCTTTGTAGATGATGCTGAAAGCAGCGTGAGCCAGGAGGGATGTGGGAGGGATGTTGCTCCCCCACGTAAATCTATGTGAGGCAAAGGGCAAAGAATGAAAAGCTTTACTCAGGAGTTATCCTCAGACTTACTTCATCAGCTCTGGGTCTTCTTTATCATCCTTTGTCGGGGTGATC